TTTACTAAATTCACAGAGTCTTTCCTAAAAAAAAAAACGGCCATATTATGTAATAGTTTCGAAATCTCAAACCGAACCTGTTTTACTAAATTCACATAGTCTTTCTAAAAAAAAAAAAAAACGGCCATATTATGTAATAGTTTCGAAATCTCAAACCGAACCTGTTTTACTAAATTCACATAGTCTTTCCTAAAAAAAAAAACGGCCATATTATGTAATAGTTTTGAAATCTCAAACCGAACCTGTTTTTAAACTAGTCTTTCCTAAAAAAAACGGCCATATTATGTAATAGTTTCGAAATCTCAAACTGAACCTGTTTTACTAAAAAGTCTTTCCTAAAAAAAAAACGGCCATATTATGTAATAGTTTCGAAATCTCAAACCGAACCTGTTTTACTAAATTCACATAGTCTTTCTAAAAAAAAAAAACGGCCATATTATGTAATAGTTTGAAATCTCAAACCGAACCTGTTTTACTAAATTCACATAGTCTTTCCTAAAAAAAAAAACGGCCATATTATGTAATAGTTTCGAAATCTCAAACCGAACCTGTTTTTTTACTAGTCTTTAAAAAAAAAAAACGGCCATATTATGTAATAGTTTCGAAATCTCAAACCGAACCTGTTTTTACTAAATTCACATAGTCTTTCCTAAAAAAAAAAAAAAAACGGCCATATTATGTAATAGTTTCTGAAATCTCAAACCGAACCTGTTTTACTAAATTCACATAGTCTTTCCTAAAAAAAAAACGGCCATATTATGTAATAGTTTCGAAATCTCAAACCGAACCTGTTTTACTAAATTCACATAGTCTTTCCTAAAAAAAAAACGGCCATATTATGTAATAGTTTGAAATCTCAAACCGAACCTGTTTTACTAAATTCACATAGTCTTTCCTAAAAAAAAAAAACGGCCATATTATGTAATAGTTTCGAAATCTCAAACCGAACCTGTTTTACTAAATTCACATAGTCTTTCCTAAAAAAAAAAAACGGCCATATTATGTAATAGTTTCGAAATCTCAAACCGAACCTGTTTTACTAAATTCACATAGTCTAAAAAAAAAAAAAACGGCCATATTATGTAATAGTTCGAAATCTCAAACCGAACCTGTTTTACTAAATTTCATAGTCTTTCCTAAAAAAAAACGGCCATATTATGTAATAGTTTTGAAATCTCAAACCGAACCTGTTTTAGTCTTTCCTAAAAAAAAATTCATATTATAGTCTTTCCGAAAAAAAAAAAAACGGCCATATTTTGTAATAGTTTCTGAATCTCAAACCGAACCTGTTTTACTAAATTCACATAGTCTTTCTAAAAAAAAAAAAAACGGCCATATTATGTAATAGTTTCGAAATCTCAAACCGAACCTGTTTTACTAAATTCACATAGTCTTTCCTAAAAAAAAAACGGCCATATTATGGAAATCTCAAACCGAACCTGTTTTACTAAATTCACATAGTCTTTCCTAAAAAAAAAAAACGGCCATATTATGTAATAGTTTCGAAATCTCAAACCGAACCTGTTTTACTAAATTCACATAGTCTTTCCTAAAAAAAAAAAAACGGCCATATTATGTAATAGTTTTTGAAATCTCAAACCGAACCTGTTTTACTAAATTCACATAGTCTTTCCTAAAAAAAAAAAAAAAAAAAAACGGCCATATTATGTCTTTCCTAAAAAAAAAACGGCCAATAGTTTTTGAAATCTCAAACCGAACCTGTTTTACTAAATTCACATAGTCTTTCTAAAAAAAAAAAACGGCCATATTATGTAATAGTTTGAAATCTCAAACCGAACCTGTTTTACTAAATTCACATAGTCTTTAAAAAAAAAAAAAACGGCCATATTATGTAATAGTTTCGAAATCTCAAACCGAACCTGTTTTACTAAATTCACATAGTCTTTCCTAAAAAAAAAAAAACGGCCATATTATGTAATAGTTTCGAAATCTCAAACCGAACCTGTTTTACTAAATTCACATAGTCTTTCCTAAAAAAAAAAAAAACGGCCATATTATGTAATAGTTTCGAAATCTCAAACCGAACCTGTTTTACTAAATTCACATAGTCTTTCCTAAAAAAAAAAAAACGGCCATATTATGTAATAGTTTGAAATCTCAAACCGAACCTGTTTTACTAAATTCACATAGTCTTTCCTAAAAAAAAAAAAAAACGGCCATATTATGTAATAGTTTTTGAAATCTCAAACCGAACCTGTTTTACTAAATTCACATAGTCTTTCCCAAAAAAAAAAAAAACGGAACCATATTATGTAATAGTCTTTCCTAAAAAAAAAAAAAAAACGGCCATCGAAATCGTCAAATAGTTTTTCAAAATCTCAAACCGAACCCTTTCTACTAAATTCAAATAGACTTTCCTAGTTTTATTGTCTCATATTTGCTGCCTATTACGTTATTTTGTCTTTTTATGACTTCGCCATTGTAGTCCCCCTTTCTGTTCGTCCTTCTGGATTCCTCTGCCGGAACCGGGGATTGAACTTCACGACCACAAACACAACAGACTCAGGTAATGGAATCCAGTGGAACAAGCAGAATCGTCATCGCAAAGGCAAAGCTTTAAATGAAAACAAAAGAAGAATAAAAAAGAGGAAATAATAAAATAATGAACTGACACAAGTGATCTCCCCGGGCATGAACGCTGGATTGAGAACAGTCTATCTCCCCCCACCGACAACCCCTAACGTCGAGGATTAAATAAGGGTTTCAGTTTTGAATCAAACACTCTTTTCAATCCACAAGTGGAAGATTGTTCTCTGTTCGCTGTCGATGCTAGGGGACATAACTCGTACCAGTTAATTTTTCCTAATTAATGAACAGCGAAATGAGGACAGTCTATTCTCGTGAACTGAACAAAGTGTTCGGTTCGAAATTCCTTGAAGGATAAGAAATATAAAAGACATCTGAAGACGGCTGGTGACTGAAACCTTGTTACTATAATAACGAAAATGAGAACACTAGATTAACGTATTAGGTGTGTGCAAAAGTTCCAGGCTCCCTCACTTTTCTCATTTTTGTTGCTATTTTTTGTTTTTTTTTCTTTTATGCTACATTTCTCCAGCATGTAAGCAATTATGCCACTCCACGGCTTCCTTTACTTTTTTTAATACCATCTCCCTTCGGCACGTAGGCAAATATAAATATGTCTTCTTGGGAAAGATGAGTGCAATGGTTTCCTATTGCTTTTCCCACGGTTTGAAATTTAAAGTTTTTCTTCTCTTAGACTGGTTGCTAGTCAAGGCAGACGAATTCTGTTCTGCTATTTATATATATATTTATTCTATAGCTAGGATAGTTGAAGAAAAGACGGATTCATACGTTTAAAAGGGGCATTATGACGAAAACGGACACATCAACCTCGCCAAGAATTTTAACCTGGTTTGTTAATTCCACTTTCTGTACCGAAAGCCTGAAAAATAAGAAACTTTTGTAGACAGCTAATGTAATAATGATTATTTACCATTTCAAGAATTCAAGACGAATATATTCTTAAGGGTTGGTCATAGTTTCTTTTAGTTTTCACGAAATTTTATTCTTAGACCTAATGAGTAAGACAACCACCGTCTGTTAGTTGATCCGCAGTATAACAGGAAATAATTTTTGAGAGGTTCTGAAATATTCTTGGCTCAGAAAAAAAGTTTAATGTTTCATCATTTATTTTATTAATTCACGCCAGGCAAGGCGATAATGCCACTGTAACGGGAGAGAGCCATGGAAGAAAGATTTATTCTCCCAATTATTTCCCTCATTATGGGCATTATCATATCCGTGATATAATAACACCATAGTTCACGGACGGGACGGAATGGCTGAAAGGAAAAAGAATGAAAAAACATACTTCATTTTCAGGGAGACTTTTAAATCATTAAGACATACACAACTCTATTTATGCATATATATAAGTGTCCCATGCGGAGAATAATATATTACATATATATGCACAGTGTTAGGAGAAAAGAAAAGTAACGGTCTTACATATAATATGGAGATACTCCTGTGTCTGGAGAAGCCATATTTAGGACGTCAGATTCAAACGGGTCGGATTCATCTATGTCCCAAGCGAGGACATATTCTACGAACGAGAAACAGGGAGTTTTGGGTTTTCCCAAATTGAGGACTACGAGCTGGAGTTTCTTTCTATATCTGGGAAAGATATATTCCCAAAGGGAAACAGCGTCATGGATTTGTAAGCTACTGGGGGAAGCAGATTTAACCTCTGCACGGAACAGGAGGGGAGCTCGGTCTAAAGAAAACAAACTCTACGTTTGGCTGCTGTAAAACGAACTAATATTTATCTACCGGTATTATCACTGTATGGTGTGACGTCTCTACGTGACCGTCGCGTGACCCATGTGATTTATATCTACCAAATGGAGATAATCGCGTTCTGTATACATATGCCACTAAAACACAAGAAGATTCTGGGAGTGAAAGAAAATGAAAAGACTTTAGAAGAAAGCAAAAACCCAATCCTAAACAGGAAACAAGGGATAAATCTCTACTCCTGTTCGGGGAGGAGTGTGAACCGGGCGATAGGTGAACCTATCTACTCCGATTGAGGAAAAATAAATAGTAAATAAGTTTTCAGAGTTTAGGCGAAGACGTTAGAAGTATAAAGTAGACATTAGAATGAACCGGAAACAAGGGTCTACTGGGAGTGAAAGAACAGGAAAAGACTTTAGAATGAACCGAAAACGCAATCCTATACAGGAAACAAGGTATAAATCTCTACACCTGTTCAAAAGACCGGGAGGAGTGTGAACCGGTCGATAGACTAGCTTATCTATTCCTATTTGACTAGATTTTGGGAAATGGGTCGGTAAGAGAGGTTTTCAGCACCCAACCCAGTACAATTACTTAGCATATATACCAAAATAATCATCAGTGGAATATTCAGAAAAACGATCGTTGAGAAAGTAAATCAAATTTCTGAAGAAATTCGCTGGAAGATTTGCTCAATTGATATTAAGTTGAAATAGGAAATGGATAATTACATTTTCCATTCCTTTGTTGTTTTCTCTTCTGTCGCCCAAACTGCGTTGGAGGTTTCCCAGGATCTGAGGGAATTGCTGAAGAGACATGGAGTATATATTCCTAGGATTTCACATATGGCTTTTATTTATTTAGTTAGTTAGTTCTCTCTCTTTCTTTTATTCTCTATTTTCTCTGTCGCTTTTTATTCTCACCCTTTCGTCCTTTCTTTCTTTTTTCTTTCTCTTTTTCATTATTTCTTTCTCCTTATCTCCTTCTTTCTCTCTCTCTCTCTCTTTCGCTTTCTTTTTATGTGTCCATTTTTCTTACTCTTTCTTTCATGCTTTTTTCCTCCATTTTCTTTCTCTCTTCCTCGCTATTATTTCTTTCTTTCTTTGTTTTCTCTGTCACTTTTTTGTTCGCCCTTTCTTTTTTTTAACCTTTTCGTTCTTTCTTTCTTTCTCCTTTTCATTTTTCTTTTTCGTTTCTTTCTTTCTTTCTCCTTGTTTTCTTTCTTTTTCTTTCTCCCTTTCTTTCTTTCTTTCTTTCTTTCATCCTTTCTTTCTCGCTTTCTCTAACTTTCTCAATTTTCTTTCTTTTCATTTCTTTTTCTTTATTTTTTTCTCTTTTTTCACTATATATTCATCTCTCTTTCTCTCTCTGTCTTTTTCTCATCCTTTCTTTCCTTTTTTCTCACTCTTTCTTCCTTCCTTTCTCTCTCTTTCTTTTTCTCCTTTTTTCTTTTTCTTTTTCTTTGTCTTTCTTCCTCTTTCTTTCTCTTTCCTCTTTCTTCCTCTCTCTTTCTCTTTCCTCTTTCTCCCTTTCTTTTTCTTGCCTTTTCTTTCTCTCTTCTCCTTCCTTCCTTTCTTTCTTTTCGCTCTCTTTATTTCTCACTTCATTTCTTTCTTTATCTTCATTTCATTTTCCTTTCTCTCTTTTCTCTTTCTCCCTTTCTTGTTCTTACCCTTTCTTTTTCCTTTTCTTTCTTTTCTCTCTTTTTGCTCCCTTTCTTTCTCTTTCAGTTTTCTCTAACTCATATTGCCTTCTCAACTGTCCTCAACCAAAACACAAACCTATAGACATTATATACACGTTACCTCTTTGATTATGCAATTGTGTGTATGCGTAAATACATCAATAAGTCCATAGCCTGATAAGGAAAAAAGCATTTATTTTACACACCGAATATTTATTTTTGAACATAATCCCCTACTTTGTCAATGCACTTAACACAGTGTTTTAATATTTATCACATCAATCGAACATTATGCAATGAACATTTCAGATCAATTTTCGACTTATAACGATATAACAAGCTACTGACTTATCGATTGCCCTTTGTAGACACGGTCTTCTACTTCAAAGATGGCTCGGTAAACCTGCCGTAAGAACGCTCGACTTCAGTTGAAGAGACATGATAGATGAATATACTCGTAGCATTTCACATATTACTTTTATAAGTGCGTGGAAAAAGCTTGGCAAAAGGCCACTTTCTGTGAGGTCTAAAATATACCACAATTTTAATGATTTAAGCTTCTAGGCGTTCTACAGGAAATTGTTCTATATTTTGTAAGCATCGTATTATAATTTTGCTTGTCCTTTACTTAGTTACGTAGTTAGCACGATCGTTACGCCCTGTTGACAACTTATAAATAATGGACTATTCCGTTTTGATCGCTTGGAAAGACGGAAAAGGCATATCAGAGACGCCACTTGATTTCAGTGAGAAAAAGAAGAAAAAAAAAGAAATAAACGCTCTGCAAATACATCATGAATAATGGACTATTCCGTTTTGATCACGTGGGTAGCCGGAAAAGACATATCAAAGACGCTACCTGTTTTCACTGAGAAAATGAAAGAAACGCTCTGCCAGTATATCATAAATAATGGACTTTTCCGTTTCGATCGCGGGAAAAGATGGAAATGGCATATCAGAGACGCTACTTGGTTTCAGTGAAAGAAAGAAAGAAAGAAAGAAAGAAAGTGTTTAGCGTCTGTTTCAGTGAAATGAAAAAAGTCGTCAATTTCAAATCTTTTCATTCGTATCCGCTTACTTTTTTAAATAATAAGAATTCATATTTAGAAGTGTTATTGCAATATTTTGTTAAAATATTTAAGTTCAAATATTTAACGATGTGATAAGTGAATTTCTACGGGTATTATATTCAGTTGATCAGATGGCGCAGTGAAGAAGTTCGGAGAGTACAACGGCCGAAACGTCGTGAATATGGCATTAAAGATGAGGGCACGAATCCAATCAATGTAAATAGTGTAAATAGTTACAATAACTCATCTTAGAAAAATAGACATGTTAAATTTTCAAATACCAGCGTTTACTATTTCTATAGCGATGTAATTATAACGAGGTTCTTTACGCATCTGCAGTGTATTGTTTTCTTTTTCTTGAATCGTTTGAAGTTTTCTGTTATATAGGAATAAAGTGTTGCTCCTGACACTTTAGTTTGAACATAGATTGCCAGTGAGCAAACACAGGCGATCCCATTATTGAATTAAGTAGATCACGTGACCATAGAGGAAACGTATAAGTATAAAGTAGCTTGGTGTCTAAGTCATCTCTATTTCTAGTCTATCCTCTATTACTATTCGGATCGCATTTCTATTCTATCCTCTATTACTATACGGAGCGCTATTCTCTACTCGATCCACTATACTATTTCTCTATTCGGATCCCTATTCGGTGATTACTATTCGAGTGGGTATTATCAAGCAAGTACTATCAGTGCGAGTGATATTCGAAGGCGTCTGACACCAGTATTGTTCAACGGCGTTACTATAGTTGTATCTGCGATTACAATATCTCTACTACAACAAGAATTACGAATGTGACAACGAGTATTCGTTGACATCACAAAAGTGGCAACGAGTGTTCGTTGACATCACAAAATTTTCAAACTGGTTATTTTGTGTCAACAAACGGAGAAATATGAAACCACAACCACAGCATGGGAATTGTCACCCCCCCCCACGTTTTTCAAAAGGAAAAATTCAATAAAAGTACATAGCTTATAAAATAGTTATGATTTGTTATCAAAACATGATAGATGATGTTTTATTAATTTTGAAACAAATGCTGATTAGCATAGAACAAATACCGCAGACATATTGTTGGAAACATTTGTTATCAACATCCGTCTACTTTGTGTTTTATTATCTATTGTGCTGAGAGGATTTGCAGTCTTGTTTCAAATACGATGTTTTTTAATGGATTGAGGAATCGGAGAGCCGAGATCGAATTCTAGTCGAATCCATTCACATCTGTGCTAATACCCTAGGGAAAGGTACGAATCCTCTTCTTCTCCCCCACCCCACAACTATGTTTAAATAGCAGGACAGACCGGGTTCTATATCCTTGGATGACAACTGGTCTACCGTAGAAAGAAATGGCGACCTAATGCGGGAAAAAAATCTGACTCGTCAGTCATGTATCTTTCGATACATGATCGCCTAAACGTGTATCACGCATGGCACATAACTGAAAAAATTGCAATGTTTACGAGAGATAACAAAAAGACAAAATTTATTAAAAGCTACGAGAGACAAGAAATTGTGGGGAGACATGATCGCCAACGTCCTGAAGAGACACGGTAAAGAAGAAGAAGAAGAAGAAGAAGAAGAAGAAGAATCTTAAGTAAATAGATGAAAGAACAGAGTCTAGGAGATATAACAAAAAGACAAACTTTGTTAAGGACTGCAAAGGAGAGGAAATTGTGGAGAGCCATGATCGCCAACGTCCTGTAGGCACACGACACATAGAAAAACAAGAATACACTTGAATAAATGGATATTGGAACAAGATTTAGTAGAAAAAAAAAAAGAGAAAATTTATAAAGAGGTACGAGTCACAGGAAATTGTGGAGAGCCATGATTGCCAACGTGTTGAAGTAATACAGCACATAGAAGAACGAAGCAGCCAACGTCTACTCACAAAGAGTTTGGTAGTAGATTTTTAAGTATTGTAGACAAAAGCAACACATATTGCCAGCATAGCTTGGTTTGGTTTGGCTTGTTTTACGGTATACCAACCTCAATGGGTCATTTAATGCCGACAAGATTTTTATTGCTGGTAATATTTTTCCAAAAATGTATTGCTGGTAACATTTTTCTTTTTCAAAAATGCACTACCGGTAATATTTTTTTTCAAAAAGTATTGCTGGTATTAAAACCTATTTTTATACTTTCATAGTGGTTTGATTCCTTTTTTTCAGGGGTGTAACTATTTACCCACAGCCGGGACCCTGAGAGGCGCTACCACATCGGGTCAGAGTGAACCTGGAAACACCTACAATTAAGAGGTGGTTCCATCTTTCTCAAAACTTCCGGATCAAAGGCTTTGTTGTCGGATGTAGCTTAACTTCTTAACCAGGACGCGGATTTAGTTTATCGTCCTACGGTTGAATTTTGTAAACTTTCGAAGAAAATAACGTTTTCGTCATTTTAAACCATTGGCGATTATCACTAAGGAAGACTATACATCTTTTGCTTTTGAAACAGGTTAGTAGTTTATTGCCTTATCCAACATGACCCAACATGGCTTGAAATCTTGTAGAGTACAAAAAGTATTACTTATGAAGAAATCATAGAGGGTTTGTTAGCCTACAGGAATGATATTTTTTCATATGATGAAACCAAGAGTTATTTGGCCTCAATTTACATTGACAAGCTTGGGGGAATAATAATGAAAAATTCAAGCCAGAATATTGTCCAGCTTTGAGGCAAGGAGATGACAACGTAATGGCGGCTGTTTTTCATTACATAGCATAAAAAGAACTATACTTGACTTAATTAAAAAGAAATGGAGCCCTGTACTGAATTATATTAAAGGAGAAATTCCTTACATTATTGAAGACTTTAAGAACGAACATTTGTATGACAGCACTTTTCCGCCTTTAATTTTCGTTCCTATTTTCTTGTATAGTCCGCAAGAAAATACGGTAGCAGTTTATCCAAATGGAATTATTACCAACCTTGTTTTTTGCCATTTTTAAGATCTGTAATTATGCAAACCTGTTCTCTTTCCCATATTCAAATGCTTTTGAAACTCATAGTGACCGCGATCCTTTATACTAAAGGGAGTGTAGTTTGGGTCCAGTGAATGTAATAACGTATACTTCCGGTCATTTTCAAGATCCAGGCACTGTAAAATAAACATACGCGATCTTGCACACAAAAAAAAAAATCTGTCGAAACCTTATATATATATATATATATATATAATTATAGATAACTAGACTCGTTTCGTTTTGATCCGTTTAGGTGAAACCTAGGTAGATTTGTCTGGCTCACTAGGTGTATCTATCTATCTCTCTCTATATATATATGTGTGTGTGTGTGTATAAATACATATATATATATATATATATATATATATATATATATATATATATGTGTGTGTGTGTGTGTGTGTGTGTGTGTGTGTGTGTGTGTGAAAATACACAGTATATATATATATATATATATATATATATATATATATATAATATATATATATATATATATCCTTTCGTCTATTAAGCATTAAACTGTATCACCCCATCACGTTCACGAACTTACTTGTCTGGCTCACTAGGTGTATCTATCTATCTCTCTCTATATATATGTGTGTGTGTGAAATACACAGTATATATATATATATATATATATATATATATATATATATATATGTATATATATATATATATATATGTATGTGTGTGTGTGTGTGTGTGTGTGTGTGTGTGTGTGAAATACATATATATATATATATATATATATATATATATATATATAAAATACCTCCCCTGCTCGCTTTCGTCTATTAAGCATTGAACTGTATCACTCCACGTTCACGAACTTACTTGATTTTTCCGCCAACCTTATGAATATAAGAGCACCACTCTACCAAAAAATTTGAAAAACCAATAACATTGTTTTTCTCTTGTATATTAAATATAAAATAAAATCCTTAAATTTGTCTTGATGGAGGACGAAACGCGTCAGCTTTGATAAGTTTTCCATTTGTCTCTTTTTTTCATATTGTCCTTTTACGGATATAGTGTTTCTGAATTGTTTTTTTTTTTTTTAGCTGGAGGAAGGAAGAGACGGATTCATGCCTTTCCCAAGGGGTTTTTTGGGGCGTAAGTGAATATAATGAACCCAACTGGAATTGGAACTCGTCTTTCTGATTTCCAATTTCGAGTCGTTAGCCTTTAGACCACCTAAACATCCAAGCTTATAGCATCTGGAATTTCCAAGCGGTCACCCGTCGAGGTACTGATCAGGCTCAACGTTGCTTAATTTCGGTGATCGTACGAGAACTGATGGTTCAAACGTGATTTATCCGTAATTCAACACGAAAGCCAACACAAAAATTAAATATATAAGAATTTTTTTTATCTTTCCTTCTTCTTCCTCTATATCTCATTCTCTGACGAAGTTTTAATGAAGTCGAAATGTGTTAGATTTATAAACGTTTCCTATTGGTTCCTTATACTATAATTCTGTCAGATTCCGATCTATATTTGATCTGCATTTCATCCAAATATATATATATATATATATATATATATATATATATTATAAAAGTGGAAGAGCTTTGTGAGCGAAAAGGAAAAAGGAAAACTGATAAACTATGAAAGAGCAATAGGAGATGAGATAGACGATGGCTAGCGAGAAAATCCATCAATCATGACAAGGAATTTATTGACTGAATCACGACGGCAAGGAAGTCACGGACGCTGTTGATGGCGTTAAAATGGAGCAACGTGCAAGTGGCGAACGGGCGCCATTGTGAGTATTTTGTGGCGAATAGCGGAGTCGAGTGTCAGTTGCCGTGTCACCCTCCACTTAGGGCCACTCACTGAAGTGCTTCTTTAAACACGTCCTGCATACCCGGCTGTTTGTTGGTGGCCTTTCAAAGCCCGAATGCCTGTCGTTCCTCAAATACTATACTGCTTGCTTAACAAATACATGGAGACATATATATGCATGCATTTTTAATTATGGCAGCCGACTGATTATCTGATGTTAATAGCTCCCTCTTAACAAAAAGAAATTTTTGTAAAATATTTTTGTAATTTAACTGAACTAGATTACTAATCATAGAAACAGACTCTATGCTTCGCATTCCATTAATAACAATGAAGATTCATTCCCAAGAAATGTTACTTTTTTACAGGCTCCCGCCTGGATACTTCCATGACCACTATAATCTTAACCTCTTCAAGTCTAAGAATAACTGTTATCTTTGCTACATATCCTCAAAATCTTCACTTATGGGGGTACTTCTGCCATATATGAGTAGGGGCTGTCCATTCTTCATTTTCCAGTCCCGAGAGAGTCCAAAATAGTCTTCCCGTCCTTGTGGGTGACGAATTATTTTCCACCAAACAACCCCTGCCCCACAAACGAAACGTTTCTCTATCGCTATTTCCATCGAATATGACCAGACGAAATACCTTAGCCCTACCAGTTCTAAACTTCACGACGAAGTCCCACCCTGCCACGCCCATTGTAGCGAACTACACTCGTCCCTTTCGTATTCCATTGGTGAGAAGAAAGTTCTACTCGAGCAGCAATTCTGACGAACAGCTGCTTTGTGAAACAGACTCCCAAGAGGATGCTTCCCCAATTACTACAATCTTAACCTGTTCAAGTCTAGGGTTAACCGTTATCTTCCCCACATATCCATATAAGCTGTGCCTCTTCTGCTGTAGCCCTCTACCTTGAGTAGCTCTTGGGCTATGCGTTACCTTCATTGTAGAAAAAGAACAGTTATCTCACCTTCTTAGGTTTATACAACAAACTCATTAAGTAACACTCGACATTGAGTGGAACTGGAGCTTTTTATTGGGCGAACAAATAGTAATATGTGTAGTAGAAGAAGGCATGATGGAGTAATAGATAGCGACTCCGATTAAGGAATCGGAGAGCCGAGTTCGAATTCCAGTCAAATCCATTACATTCACTTACGTGCTAATATCCTTGGGAAAGGTATGAATCCTCTTCTCCACAGCTATGCGTAAATAGCAGGATGGTTTGGGTTCTATAGCCTTGTATAGCAAATGATATACTGCAGAAATAAATGGCAACCTACTGCAGGAAAAAAATCTGCCTCGTCAATCATATATAGAAAGATACATGATCGCCTAAGCGTGTATCACGCATGGCACATAACTGATATTCACTTACGCGCTAATAAGCTTGGGAATTTTTTGAATCCTCTTCTTCTCCCCCCAGCTATGGATAAATAATAGGACTGACCGGGTTCTATAGCCTTGGATGGCAACTGGTCTACCGCAGAAAGAAATGACAACTTACTGCCTCATCAGTCATGTATCCTCCATCAAGACAAATTTAAGGATGAGGCAGAAACTATCTCTAGCGTAGCCTATTCTATACTTAATTTCTTTTTCTCCTATATTTAATTTAACTTATCTACACACTAGCAGTAGAGCCCGGCGTTGCCCGGGGATGTAACAGTAAGAGATAGATCAAGTATCGACCATCATAAAGACTAAAAAATAAAATTGACAAAGATTATTGTTTAAGGTTGACGGACACGCATGTCTTAATTAGTTTTTTTTTTTTTTGTTGTTTTTTTGCCTTTTTTTTTTTTTTTTTTTTGACGAATTGGTCAAACCCAAACTCAAGCAAAAACATTGTTTTCAATCGTTATGAGTCTATCGATTGAATAGAATTTTATTATAAACAATTGTCTTGTAAATGGAATTTTAAAGCATTCTGAATGTAAAAATAAAGAAAAAAGTGTGCAAGACAATAAGAAACACTACCTGCCAAAAAAAAAAGTGAAAGTTTTGTTGAAATCGGTTGAAAAATGTAGGAAATCCGATCCAATATATAAACGTACACACACACACACAATCTGCGTTTTATAAGTAAGATTAAAGCACTGAGGCGTTAACAAAACAAAACAAAAAATGCCATTTGCGTGAGATTAATGTAGAAAAAGAATTAGAGTATAAGGTATTCTTTTATGCAAATGAAATTATTCCATCATAATTCTTCAAATTTTCTTGGTCGCGAGAACAAATTACGCGAAAAAAAAATTTCTTTTTAAAATCATAAAACTTATAAATAATCAAGAGTGGTCTCCCCTTGTTTTGAGAGAGCTATTTCTTTTTACAGGGACTATAAAAGACACTTGTATTCTCAGTTGAATAAAGCTTTCTTAAAGCCTCTACCTGTGTACTTTTGTCATTGCATTAAGTATACAAGAATCTGTAAATGAATGCAGGAAAACAGAAACACGCAAAAAAAAAAATGCGAAAAACAGTTCCTTCAAGACACAAAAAGTCACTGAACGGGCGGCATAAAATTACATTAATACAGTGTAACCCGGATATAAGAGACCCGGATATAAAAGAAACCCGGATATAAGAGAGAATTTCTCTGGCCCCAAATTAGAGCCTGTGTTAATGTATATAAAATAGACCAAACCCGAATATAAGAGAAACCCGGATATAAGAGACTTCTTCTCCGGTCCCGACAACTCTCTTATATCCGGGTTACAATTGTATGAAGAAACAAGCACTAATAAATAGATAGATAGATAGATAATGAATGAAAACACAAGTGTATTAATATATAGATAGATGCAATTAACCCGGATATAAGAGAAACCCGGATATAAAAAACCCGGATATAAGAGTTTTCTCTGGTCCCAAAAGCCTGTGTTAATGTATATTAGACCAAACCCGAATATAAGAGAAACCCGGATATAAGAACTTCTTCTCCGGTCCCGACAACTCTCTTATATCCGGGTTCACTGAATGAAGAAACAAGTGCACTAATAAATAGATAGATAGATAGATAGATAGATAGAATGAAAACACAAGTGTATTAATATATAGATAGATACAGTGTAACCCGGATATAAGAGAAACCCGGATATAGAGAAACCCGGATATAAAGTTTTTCTCTGATAGCCTGTGTTAATGTATATAAAAGTAGACCAAACCCGGATATAAGAGAAACCCGGATATAAGAGACTTCTTCTCCGGTCCCGACAACTCTCTTATATCCGGGTTACACTGTATGAAGAAACAAGTGCACTAATAAATAGATAGATAGATAGATAGATAGATATGAAAACACAAGTGTATTAATATATAGATAGATACAGTGTAACCCGGATATAAAGAAACCCGGATATAAGAAGACCCGGATATAAGAGTTTTTCTCTGGTCCCAAATTAGAGCCTGTGTTAATGTATATAAAGTAGACCAAACCCGGATATAAGAAACCCGGGATAAGAGACTTCTCCGGTCCCGACAACTCTCTTATATCCCTGTATGAAGAAACAAGTGCACTAATAAATAGATAGATAGATAGATAGATAGATATGAAAACACAAGTGTATTAATATATAGATAGATACAGTGTAACCCGGATATAAGAGAAACCCGGATATAAGAGAAACCCGGATATAAGAGTTTTTCTCTGGTCCCAAATTAGAGCCTGTGTTAATGTATATAAAGTAGACCAAACCCGGATATAAGAGAAACCCGGATATAAGAGACTTCTCCGGTCCCGACAACTCTCTTATATCCGGGTTACACTGTATGAAGAAACAAGTGCACTAATAAATAGATAGATAGATAGATAGATAGATATGAAAACACAAGTGTATTAATATATAGATAGATACAGTGTAACCCGGATATAAGAGAAACCGGATATAAGAGAAACCCGGATATAAGAGTTTTTCTGGTCCCAAATTAGAGCCTGTGTTAATGTATATAAAGTAGACCAAACCCGGATATAAGAGAAACCCGGATATAAGAGACTTCTCGGTCCCGACAACTCTCTTATATCCGGATTACACTAATATGAAGAAACAAGTGCACTAATAAATAGATAGATAGATAGATAGAATGAAAACACAAGTGTATTAATATATAGATAGATACAGTGTAACCGGATATAAGAGAAACCCGGATATAAGAGAAACCCGGATATAAGAGAGTTTTCTCTGGTCCCAAATTAGAGCCTGTGTTAATGTATATAAAGTAGACCAAACCCGGATATAAGAGAAACCCGGATATAAGAGACTTCTTCTCGGTCCCGACAACTATCTTATATCCGGGTTACACTGTATCATCATATTCTTCCGATACTAAATAGTAGCCTGTCAAAACGTGAGATATGGGAATTATGTTTGTACATCCATACGAAAAATAATCTAACAGTTGCTAAAAGGAAAAAATAAAATAAAATTCTTTTTAAAAAGGTTCACACTCGAAAATGTCTTTAAACTTGACATTTTTTGAATCTTCGCACATTTCTTTATTTAATAAAAGAAACTCTTGTGACGAACAACAACGGGATGAATTTGAAAAACGTACTGAAAAATTACAAGTAGTTTTTTTTTCTAAATAAATATTAAGTAGGTAGCTCCACCTAAACGCGACTGAAATGAATTTTTCAAAAACGAAAATTTTCTTGAAGCTTTTATTTTAGTTTTATTTTCAGGTTAATAGATTAAATGTAATATTTCCAATGAGCAAAATACATTGCTGCGTTTCAAAACTAAATTGACTGGAAGGCGTTTTGGTTTGGAAATTGCTGATTTTAGCGCCATTTTTAGCTATCTGTCATCACAATATAATTCTGTTTTTTAAAAAAATTCAAAAAATAAAATATACTTTTCTGAAATTGTATTTGAGGAATATTAACTAATCTAAATTTTAATTAATCAGAATTAAAACAAATATTACTTTTGAAATATCTCAGAAATGTATTTTTCTAATTTATAACAGGTTGGCAGCTTCACTGAGAGACGAAAATTTACCTAATTTTTTTCTACAGTGGATATATCTGTAAAAATTACATGAGGAATATAACGTGAGGGACATTTACATAATTTTTAACTACACAGTAATCTTAAAAATTTACGCAAATATTCTCCATAATCAAATATTTTATTCAATTTTAGGTACTTTGGCTTTAAATTTACTATAGTTATCGCTTTTATATTCTGATAATGTCCCGTATGGACGTCCGTATTTACAAATATACATATACAAAAAAATTCAAAATTCTTTTTAAGTCGCTAAATTGTAATAAGCTTTTTCATTTATGATTAGTAAATATTGTTTTTACTTAATAACAATATCACCAAACCGGGACAAATTAAGATAGTATTTTAAAATTTTTATTATTTTTGGAGTCTGTCTATATATGTACAGTATTTACATTAGTCGGATTATTGTCCTCATCTTTGTCGCCATATTTGTCACAACGTTTCGGCCTTCTTCAGGTGGTTGGAATTTCGAACTGAACCCTTTATTTCGATCACTGGGGTAGACTGTTCTAGTTCCACGTGCCATGTTTGATGGATGTCAGTTATCAGATATCTCCTGCTAATTTTCCCTCTAAAAGTTCTCCACTGCCTTAACCAGGTATTGAACTCACCTTCTTTGGGTCTGTCACTGGATCTAACCAACGCCTTTATCCACCTTGAGGACATCCGGCTATGAAATTCTGAGTATTATAAACCTAATGTTTTCAGCATCATATTTTTACCAGTGCTCATATTGCAATTTTGCAATATAGATAGACTCTAAACAATTCTTGTAAAAATTCATTATTCATGAAAATTATTTTTCTTACGGCTTCTCAAATAACGGTTTTATTGTATTTTTATTTTACTATTCAGAGCAGATTTTTTGCAACTGGGGTCCTGATTGATCAGAAAAAATTGATGATTTGAATTCTCTTATATAACTAATATAAACATTATGCCCAACAAAAAAAAAAGAATTTCTCGAAATTTTATAAAATTAAATAAGTAGGAATTATGCTAAAAAAAGAAGATTTTTACCAAGATTTTCTAAAAAGGGAACATTTAAAAAATAACTTAATTCATTAGTGTCACTAAAATATAACAATTATCTGATTGTGTTTTTCACCGGAAAAAGACGATCAAATTTTCTATACAACTTTATCGCCCCACTTTGACGTTAGAAAAAACAAGATTTTTAACCAACATCTCGAAGGTTCCAAAAATGATTGACAAAATAAATTTTTACATAAAAAATCCTTTGGTCTTTCATCCTAATAATAACAGATTTTGAAGATAAAAGTTTGTTTTTATTGAATTTTGGGCATTCTTTCATCATGCATATCTCATTTTTTTATCAAATCTTTATATCCGCTAAGTAAAAGTGGACACTGAGGCCAGCATAAACCAAATCAACACTGAGGTCTACATTAAATAAAATATCTTTCACCGCAGGAGACGTTACCTTGAAGTGTGTATAAAATATTTACTATGCGTACAAAATAATAAAAATAAAGATCAATATTTGATACATGCCTTTCTGGTGCGGTTGAGCAAGTTTTAATCTGTACCCATATGTCATTTTTGATTGATTCAAATTCCACCACTGTAAAATAAGCCAGGACGGAGCAAACAAAAATCCCTGGCAACACTCAGACCTTGATTGTGATTGAGACGAACGAAATTACTTGAACAAAAATGTAACTTCCAACAGTTTATAGTACGCAGTACTCTTTTTGAACACGATATAAAAGGGTTTATTCGAAAATTGGAAAAATATTATAAAATATAAAAATCGGCTGCATTTAACAAAATTAATTTTACAGTATAAAGTTCAAATGATTTAATATAATTATTTCCGATAATTAGGGACCTCAAAAAATCCCACATACGTAAAAAAATTGGTTCAACAATTCTCATGTTTTGGACATGAGAGTAATTTTCTGTATGAGGGATGAGGGATGAGGGCTCAATATTGGGAATAGATGTAGATTTAGTATGGACATAGAAATCAACGCTGTATGGCGACTGCCAGTTTCAGGCTTTAGACATTCATCTGACCAAATCTGACCTACCTATCTATCCATCTATCTCAATCTGTTCATATCTATCTAAGTCTGTTCATATCTATCTATCTATCTATCTATCTATCTATCTATCTATCTATCTAAGTCTGTTCATATCTATCTATCTATCTATCTATCTCAGTCTGTTCATATCTATCTATCTATCTATCTATCTATCTATCTATCTAAGTCTGTTCATATCTATCTATCTATCTATCTATCTATCTATCTATCTATCTATCTATCTATCTAAGTCTGTTCATATCTATCTATCTATCTCAATCCGTTCATATCTATTTAAGAATACCCGCTCGGCCCGGTGGCTAGGATCAAAGTGTAGTATCTGCGCTTTTGAGCTGCCGGGTCGGTGTTCGTCGAACTCTCTGCTTGCAGAGAGGAACCCGGACGAAGCTCCGCCGAAGGGTAGGGTTTCGTTGGGGAGGTTGACGGAACTGGCCCGCCTCGGCGGGTTTGGATGGTTATTTATTTTGGCTGGGCCTACGGGCTCAGAGATACCCACATTAAAAAGGCCTTGTGCCACATTCGATCCCCGTGGGTGGATTAATAAATACCATCTATCTGTTCATATCTATCTATCTATCTCAGTCTGTTCATATCTATCTATCTATCTATCTATCTATCTATCTATCTATCTATCTATCTATCTATCTATCTCAGTCTGTTCATATCTATCTATCTATCTCAGTCTGTTCCTATCTATCTATCTATCTATCTACCTACCTACCTACCTACCTACCTACCTACCTACCTACCTATCTATCCATCTATCTCAATCTGTTCATATCTATCTAAGTCTGTTCATATCCATCTATCTATCTATCTATCTATCTATCTATCTATCTATCTAAGTCTGTTCATATCTATCTATCTATCTATCTAAGTCTGTTCATATCTATCTATCTATCTATCTCAGTCTGTTCATATCTATCTATCTATCTATCTATCTATCTATCTATCTATCTATCTCAGTCTGTTCATATCTATCTATCTATCTATCTATCTATCTCAGTCTGTTCATATCTATCTATCTATCTATCTATCTATCTATCTATCTCAGTCTGTTCATATCTATCTATCTATCTATCTATCTATCTATCTATCTATCTATCTCAGTCTGTTCATATCTATCTATCTATCTATCTATCTCAGTCTGTTCATATCTATCTATCTATCTATCTATCTATCTATCTATCTATCTATCTATCTCAGTCTGTTCATATCATCTATCTATCTATCTATCTATCTCAGTCTGTTCATATCTATCTATCTATCTATCTATCTATCTATCTATCTATCTATCTCAGTCTGTTCATATCTATCTATCTATCTATCTATCTATCTATCTATCTATCTATCTATCTATCTATCTATGTCTAGGCGTAGATGTGTCAGATTTACTGCCATTTTATTACTTTCCAAATCAATTATTGAAATGTACATTTACAATTCTCCCGATGAAATCTGTCTCCCGTATCATACCGCAACGTTTGTCACTATTTTCAAGGCGAAGTCACGAGAACGAGTTGGTGACTTAAAAAGCATTAGAGAAAGAAGATAATCCTTTGCAAAGATTATCCGATTTGCCGAATTGGCTCCACTTTCTAAATACCGCTTAAGATTTGATCATGGCGTCAGTTAGAATAAGAAAGTCTTTAGGGAAATCGCAAATATACAAAATAGTCTATAAAAACTAGTTTTTGTTTACCCATTACCCACGCGCAATAATTGTGTAATTGTGCGGATAGAGCAATGTAGGTACCATCACAGAAAACGCCTTACTTGGTGTTTAAAATGAATTTCAAAAAATGAAAAATATTTATTGAAACTTTTATTTTAGTTTTAATTTCAAGTTAATAGGTTAAATTTAATATTTCCACTTTGCGGCACTTAAAAAATAATTTAAATTGACTGTAAAGAATTTCTGTTTTTCTTTCTAAAATAGCGTCCTTTTTTTAGTCGTCTTTCATAGCAATGTAAATTTCTTTATTAAAAAATCTTCCAGAAATAAAATATACTTTTCTGAAATTTTATTTGAGGAATATTAGCTGATTTAAAATATAGTTAATCTGAATTGGAACAAATTTTACTTACTTTAAGTTTATCGCAGATTTCATTTTTTAACACAACGGTAGCTGTTTATTTAAGCTGCTGACATGTTTGACTTCTTCATGACAGATTGATGTTTATCCAATGAAGTTATTTCTTTCGACGTAAAAATAATTGAATATAATGTGAGCGCCTTTTATATATCATTTTAAGTACTCAGTAATCTTAAAAAAAAAGAAAAATTCACACGTAATCTAATGTTTTATTGAATTTTAGATACATTCGAGCTTTAACTTTAATATAGTTATTGCTCTTATTTTCTGATAATATCGTATATCGCCGTCCGTATATACAAAAAAACATCACAAAAATTCAAAATTCTTTTAAAAATATTGGTATTTGATGATTTGTATTAAGTGTTTCCATATAGTTTTTACTTATATCATTTAAAAGGATAAAATTAATACAAAATTTTAAAAGATTTTAAAACTTAATAAATTATTCTAATTAAAATTAAATGAAAATAATTCTTGTAAAAAAATCTATTATTCATCAGAAAAATGTTTTTAAGACAATAGTGTTCTTAATATATCTTATTCATAAAAGCAATTAAAAGTCTTTCTTATTAGATGATGTCATAGTTTTATTGAATTTTTTTACAATTCAGAGCAGATTATTGTTTTTTATTACCACAGATCGCTAAATTTCCCATACTGATTGACTGGAAAGAATTTTTGTTTTTCTTTCTAAAATAGCGCCCTTTTTTTAGTCGTCTTTCATAGCAATGTAAATCTCTTTATTAAAAAATCTTCCAGAAATAAAATATACTTTTCTGAAATTTTATTTGAGGAATATTAGCTGATTTAAAATATAATTAATCTGAATTGGAACAAATTTTACTTACTTTAAGTTTAAAATATTGCAGATTTCATTTTTTAACACAACGGTAGCTGTTTATTTAAGCTGCTGACATGTTTAACTTCTTGATGACGGATTGATGTTTATCCAATGAAGTTCGGGGCGGGTTTTTTTTCTTTCGACGTAAAAATAATTGAATATAATGTGAGCGCCCTTTATATATCATTTTAAGTACTTAGTAATCTTAAAAAAAGAAAAATTCACACGTAATCTAATGTTTTATTGAATTTTAGATACATTCGAGCTTTAACTTTAATATAGTTATCACTCTTATTTTCTGATAATATCATGTATCACAGTCCGTATACAAAAACACATCACAAAAATTCAAAATTCTTTTAAAAATATTGGTATTTGATGATTTGTATTAAGCGTTTCCATATAGTTTTTACTTAATAATAATATCATTTAAAAGGATGAAATTAATACAAAATTTTAAATGATTTAAAACTTAATAAATTATTCTAATTAAAATTAAATGAAAATAATTCTTGTAAAAAATCTATTATTCACCAGAAAAATGTTTTTAAGACAATAGTGTTCTTAATATATCTTATTTATAAAAGCAATTAAAAGTTTTTCTAATTAGATGATGTCGTAGTTTTATTGCATTTTTTTACAATTCAGAGCAGATTTTCAGTAAATGGTGTTTCTGTTTGACAAAAACCAAATTGATGATTTAAATTCTACAACGTGCCCTGCTTATTACTAATATAAATATAAAGAAGGTGGTATTTTAATTTTGATCAAATTAAGTGGGGGTAATAGACGTAAAAATATTTTTACCAGAATTCGAAAAAAAAAACCATAAAAAAATATTTTAATTCATTTATGAATAAGTCCTAAAAAATTAATTCAAATCCGACAATTATTTGATTTTTGGAAGAATTTCCAAAACAATGTGTTTTTACCACAGATCGCTAAATTTCCCATACTGATGCAAGAAAAAAAAATGGAACGAAGCAACAGATGACTCTTTACTATCTCTCTCTATCCAAGCTCCCCCACTCACCCAAACTCATTAGGTAGGTTACTCAATATTTCGTTTTGCCTGTAGTTCCTTCAATACACGCTGTGAGTGTTAAATTTTCCAAACCTTCGTTCCTCATAGAGTTCCAGAATTTTCAACTGATTTTTTTATAATTTTCTTATATGTATCGTATTAGTCTCCATTTCCTTTCTCTATTGTGTGTTAGTGGTAGTTATCTTCTAACTTTACGCGCCTTTGGCGATCATAGCTCTCCACAGCTTCTCTTGTTTGTAGTTCTACAGACATTAATACATTATTACAGACATGATAAATGACATATACGACACTGGTGATATACGAGATGATCTAAGTTGATCCAATTGCATAGCTCTGCCCAAGACGTCAGGCGCAAACGAATAGGAACATCGTCGGATAATCTGCCTATTGAGCCACATAACAACACTTATCTGAATTCTGATGAAGAGAACGCTTTGCAGAATTAGATCTAAAATAGAACAAGGATGGTGTAGTTTCATTAAAAACACTGGAACAAGGAATGCAATTATTTATATACCGAATGATATCGGAAAGAACAGTAAACATGCAAATGGAAGAATATCCATGTTTTATAGATTACTAGCAGTAGAGCCCGGCGTTGCCCGGGGATGTAACAGTAAGAGATAGATCAAGTATCGACCATCATAAAGACTGAAAAATAAAATTGACAAAGATTATTGTTTAAGGTTGACGGACACGCATGTCTTAATTAGTTTTTTTTTTTACGAATTGGTCAAACCCAAACTCAAACAAAAACATTGTTTTCAATCGTTATGAGTCTACCGATTGAATAGAATTTTATTATAAACAATTGTCTTGTAAATGGAATTTTTAAAGCATTCTGAATGTAAAATAAAAGAAAAAAAGTGTGCAAGACAATAAGAAACACTACCTGCCAAAAAAAGTGAAGTTTTGTTGAAATCGGTTGAAAATGTAGGAAATCCGATCCCATATATAAACGAAACACACACACACACACACACACACACACACACACACACACACACACACAAACAAACAAACAAACTGGGTTTTATAATAAGTATAACTCGATATGAGTTGTCCCCCTTTCATTTTCGCGATGCCTCTTAATTGTGTTTTCAAATTGATTTCGTACAAAAATAATTGTGTGTCCCAATTTTTGGCGCTGTCAGAACCACCGCAAGGTAATTTTACGTAGTCCTGTGAAGTTTTGTTGAAATCGGTTGAAAAATGTAGGAAATCCGATCCAATATATAAACGTACAGACACACACACACACACACACACACAATCTGCGTTTTATAATAAGTAAGATTACTAGGCAGTTAAAAAATTCTCTAAATGTTGTTTATCTGTCCTCCTATAAAGCAGTGAATGCTGGGCAATCTCTTCATAGATGAAGAAGAGACTTAAAGCAACACAAATGTCTATCTACAGAAGGATGCTGAGTATACTATGGATCGAATATGTGAGCAACAACGAATTTCTAGAAAAAAAATGGAAATTAAAAGGAAACTTATAAGTAACATCAAGAAGAGACAGATGAAATATCTAGGGCACATAATGAGGAAAGAAGGCTTAGAAATTCTGATACTCACAAAGCAGATTGAAGGCAAAGGGGGACAGAGAAATCAACGCATAACTTACTTAGTTAACATGAGTTCATGGATGGCGGAACAGGGTTTAAGAAGAATAACAAAAAAGATAAAATTAATTAACAGCTACGAAGAATAGGAAATTGTGGAGAGCCATGATCGGAACATGAAGAAAAAGAATTGTACTACAAATATTCCCCCTTCCATAAAACTTGCAAACATCAGGTTATCAATAGATATTGATTTTTCTTCTTCTCATTGTGTGTGTGTGTGAGTGAGTGTGTGTGTACGCGTTTCTATGTCTGTGTGTGCACGCCTGTACGTGTGTTTGTGTGCAGATTTGTAGGATGTCGTAGTTATTTTCTTTTTTTTTTCATTTTCTTTTTAATACTCTCTCACTATTCCTTTTCCTTCTTTTTTTCTCTCTTTCGCCTCTCTAGTCCTGGGTATGACGATAAACTACATCCGTCAGCAAGGCCACTGATCGAGGGATTGAAGGTTTTGAGAAGCATAGAACCACATCTTAATTGCTGTTGTTCCCAGCTCCACTTTGACCCAGAGTGGTAGCACCTGTTAGGGTTCTAGCTATGGGCAAATTGTGAACCTCCAAAAAAAAAAAAAAAAAAACGATGAATGTATAAAAATATATTAAAGTATAAAATTATAGTAAAAATATCGACAATGATTTTTTATATAAAAAAAATTACAAACAATACCTATTTCTAGTAGAATTGCTAACAATGTATTTTATAGCAAAATGGCCAACAATACATTTTATCTGAATTTGAAGCCATAAAACTATGTTCAAA